GGCTTCTGCTGGCGGACGGACGCGGCGCGGAGCAGCGGCAGGCAAAGCCCGGAGCGACGGAGAGCGAGCGCGGTACCCGTCGGGGGGCTCAGGGAGGGGGCCGGAGGGGGCGCCTCTTCTGCGCTAATGCCGGCGGGGGGGGGCTGGGGCGGGAGGAGGGTCGTCTCCCCCCTTGCCGGGCGATGGAAGGAAGCGCCGGTGCCGGGCGGGGGGGCTGCAGAATCGCGGCCGCTCTCGGGGTCCCCCTCCTCCGCAGCCCCCCCCCCGGGAGCGGCGCCCCATCGGGGAGGGGGCGGCGGGTTCTTCGGGGAAAGCGGTGGGGGCGACCCTCCCCCAGCCCCGGCGCTCCTTGGGGGGAGGGGGCCGACCCCTTGAATAAAGCAGAATCTGCGGTGAAATTTGCGTTCGGGGGGGGGATCGTTTTAAAAGCCTAGCCCAGAAGTTGAAAGAGCTGGAGGCTCTAAATCGCCTTCGTTAACCGCGGCTTCCCAATAGGCTACCCGGAGATGCGTTCACACTTCGTGCCAAGCCGCAAGTAAACAAGCCACCATATTTAGGTTGCATTAAAAAACCCAAAAGCATCCGTGTTAGACCTTAGCAGACAGGTGAGCCTCCCTGCAGCCTGCAGCACCAAGACCAGGTGAACTGCTAGTACCTGCTTCGGTGCCCTTGGAACTCTGCATCCAATTCTGGTCACCAGGATAAGGGGGGGGGGGAAAAGACCCCGAGACCCTAGAAATAGCGCAGAGAAGAGCAACAAAGACGATTAGGGGGATGGAGGCTAAAACGTGTGAAGAACAGTTGCAGGAATTGGGTTTGGCCAGTCTAGAGAAAAGAGGGGCCAGAGGTGACATGATGGCCCCCTTCCAGTATTTAAGGGACTGCTGCAAAGAGGAGGAGGAGGGTCAACCGGTTTCTCCAAAGGCAGGACAAGCAGCAACGGATGGAAGCTAGTCAAGGAGAGAAGCAGCCTGGAACTAAGGAGACATGTCCTGATAGAAAAGTGACCAGTGGAACAACCTGCCTCCAGAGGTTGTGGGTGCTGCATCACTGGAGGTTTTCCGGCCCCTTGTCTGGGGTGGTGTGGGGGGGGGTCTCCCGTTTCAGCAGGGGGCTGGACCACCACTCCTCCAAGGTCCCTTTTCCAACTCTGTTATTCTGTAGATCCTTGTCTGATGAGAAACTGGATAGCTCCAGATTATTTCCAAGGGCTGCCAGTCTCCAAGCAACAGCAGCCCTCACGGTTTATGCCGGGTCTACGCAAAGCCAGAGAAACTCCGGGCTTTCTAGGGTTAAATCTAAAAGCAGAGGCCCCCCAGGCAGCCCTGGGGTTCTCCTCCAAGTGCTGACAAGACCCCCTCTCTCCCCTTCGTTTTGCAGATCCGGCCCACTTCCTGGAGACCATGAGGGTGAAGTGCAGCCCAGCCATGTGTTGGACTCTCCTGTTCCTGCTGGCCATTTTCATGGACAGCGTGGCCTGCAAAGGGGGCCGGGGTGGAGCTCGTGGGTCAGCCCGGGGGAGTGCGCGGGGCACCTCCCGGCGGTCCAAGTCCGCGCCCCGTTACAGATCCTCAGGGACAGCCCTGCGCGTGGCGGCGGCCGCTGCTGCAGGAGGAGCTGCGGCAGCCGCTGCGGCGGCTGGGATGAGCATGGCGGGGCCGGACAGCCCCGAATACGGGGAGATGCAGCCCAGGAACAACACCGCAAGGAGCACTCACAACCCCCAGCCCTGGCCCCTCCTCTGCATCTCGGCCTCCCTCTGGTGTGTGGCCCTGGTGCCTCGGGCCCTCTGACGCTCAGAGCCTCTGGTGGGCGGCCTCTCGCCCTGAGCCCCCCACAGGCGATCTGGGGGGCCGAGTCTCCCTACCACGATTTACTCAACGGTGCCAAAATACATTACAACCCACTCCTGTCCTGGCTGGCTTCCCCAGTTTTTACTTACTTATTGAGACTGCCATCCTAAAGTCAATCCAAAGGGGGGGGGGAGAATGGTTAATTAATGGTTAATTAATGGTCAGTGTCTGCTGGTGGACATTGAGATGAGGCATCCCTGCCCACTCTACGTGGACCGTATTCAAATTCTTCATGCAGCTCTTTTCTAACGATTAAGACGTAAAGGCATTCAGACCTTCTGCCAAGAATTTATTGCTACTTTTATACAGTGGATCTCCAGGGAACAATCTCTCCCTCCGGTGCCTTGTACAGCAAAGGAGCTTAACTTCGGAGTCATTCCACGCCGGATCCACCCACACGGGTGCGCAGAAATTGGTGTGGCAACAGAGAATGGGTTGGACATGGAAGAGTCCGACTCAAGTCGGACTCAACTATGGGTAATTTCTGGCTACTCATTCCTCTTGAGGCCAATTTATAGATCACAAGGTAGTTGTGAGGTTCAAGTGAGGGGACAATACCTTGTCTGCTATCTTGAGCAACTAAGAAAAGCTGAATATTATCTGCTGTATCGTGTTCAAGGCTACTATTGAAAAAAATCAATTGTTTCCTTATCCTCCTCTAACCGAGAGAGTCTGGTATGTAACACGTGGCTCTTCTTTTGGCCAAAACTAAGAGAAGCCCAACGTGTAATACACAACACTCTTCTTGCATTGTGTTTTGAACTGGCTGAAGGGGCAGTTGCCGTATTGGTGCAAACATCCAAATTGCTCGGAGGCAGCCACGTTCTCCAAGTAGGCAGAAAGTGATGGTCAAGGGCAGAAAGGGTTGGGATGGGCATTGACCTAGACAGGCTGCCATTTTTGTTGTTGTTGTTGTCATGAATGTGATTTTATTTCCTGTGGAAAATCTTCTCAAATGCCCTTGCAACAGTTGGAAGATGCTGAAAACATCTATTCTCCTTTTGGCTGGGATATTTCTGCCCTCAAAGTCCAGTAAAAAAATCATTTTGGGGAAGCAACTAATTGGGTCGGCCACGTCCCTTGAACCAGACCGCCACGTTTTTGAAAACATGCCAGAGTTTTCAGAAATTCAATAGGGAGATTCAGGTCCAATAAACAGCTTTGCATAGTTAATATGACATTTGCTGCCCTCAGATATTATGAAGGCTCTTGGGATGATTATAAAATGGATGAGACAAATGTGTGGAGCTATTAGACTTGAAAGACAGGCATTCTGAATTGCGTAGAAGAGATGGGCAGCTGTGAGAGAAGGCGGCATTCTCTGGACACGAACCTTCCCGATGCAGCCGAAGGGATGCTGGGTCACAGGGAATGCTGCTCTGAATAGACCTTTGCCCTGATTTATCTCATTCATCAACTCCAAAATGTTTAAGAAGAACTTTTCCATGCATTTCAACACCTGCGATGTCTGGGTGCAAAGAGAACTAGGAATGGTTCCCGATGTTCATTTACCCGCTGGTGTTCAGTTCATTTAATAAAAGTCACTACAATAGCCTGATCTGTACGTATCATATCTTGGATTCTAAGGTTCTGGGGAAAAAAGCACAGGTTTTGCTTCCAATGACGAGCGGGTGAAGACGTTGCAGCAAATGTAAACTTTTTTTTTTGCACTGGATGGTGTGTACGTGTGTGTCTTTGTGTCAGCTTTTGACTCCCGTGGAGCACTTGGACTCCTTCCTGCAGTTGCAGAAGTGGTTTGCCACTCTGATGAGACAGCCTTTCTGCATTGGGGACCGGTACTCCGCTTATGATCAGGGACGATGCCAAGATCCTTTCCACAATCCGTACGCTCAGCCAGGCGTCCCTTGTGCCACCACAGGGCTCTGGTGTCTGTGGAGACTCTCCATCATCCAGGTCACGGTGGTCCCACAGGTGCTTTTCCAAAAGGCAACTGGACCTTCTTGGGTTTTTTTCCTTGAAAATGTTTTTCTTCTCATCCAAGAAGTTTCTTCACTTCAGAGGCCCAGAACTGAAGAAGCTTCTTGGATTAGAAGTGAAACATCCTCAACGGAAAAAACCCACAAAAGTCCAGTTGCCTCTTGAAAAATGATGGGGCAGCGCTTTGATCTTCCCAGCTGCAGTGGAGGGAGCCAAAGGGGCTTATTTTTTCCCCCCACCCCCGCATTCATACAGAAGAGGCCCCCGGAGACGGCCTGTCTTCTGACAGCTGTTGGATGACAGGAGCCAGAACTGGAGTCATCGGGAGCAACCTGAGTTATTCTTGGCAGAGAAAAATCAGTCGTGTCTGTCTCAACTTGGATTCCGACTTTGCGGAAGGACCTTGGGATGGGACTCCAGCAACCGCTTGTCATGATATTTTGAATTTGGGGGGGGGGGGGGATTTGTACATTTTGAAGATGTGTACAGGAAGTATCATGAGACGAAAGCCGCCATCTGTTTTATGCGACCTTTATAGTATTTCGCCGTTGATTAGAAGAGCGTGTATTGGCCTCTGCCTTGCAAAAGACAATCAAAAAGCTGACTTGATACAAATTAAGACTTTTATCAGAGATAAAAAGGGCTGCAATTTGGAAAATAGAATAATAAGAGTCAGAAGGCACCTTGGAGGTCTTCTAGTCCAACCCCCTGCTCAAGCAGGAGACCCTATACTGTTTGGGACAAGTGGCTGTCCAGTCTCTTCTTGACCACCTCCGGAGGGAAGCTGTTCCACTGGTTAATTGTTCCAACTGTCAGGAAATTCCTCCTTAGTTCTAGGTTGCTTCTCTCTTTGATTAGTTTCCATCTGTTATTTCTTGTCCTGCCTTCTGGTGCTTTGGTGGAACAGTTTGACCCCCTCCCCTCTTCTTTGGGGCAGCCCCTCAGATATTGGAACACTGCTCTCTCCTTCATGAGTCACTTTTACATGTTCAATTCATTGTTTTATCCTTTTTCTGTGTCCTTGATGGAGTTATACTGTTCTTTCTTCCTTAGCAAGAGGGACGTTGGTGCGATAGCAATGGAAGAGCAAAGTTAAATTGTTTATTCATAATATCCAAAAAGGGAAGCCAAAACTATGGGACACAGCTCTGTTACAAAACATGGGATAGCAATCATTTAACTTGCAACAACGTATTAATTTCGTTTTAAAATAGTAGCATTTGTGAACCAGGGCCTATGTGGTTTGAATCAAAGCAATGCAATCTGCTTCAATTTTTTTTTTAAAAATAGGAGATAAACAATAGATCTCTCCAGCTATTGCTTTGTCATCCAAGGCAAGCTGGTGCCCATCCCCTGAAGATACGGTACGGATTGGAAAATAGATATGAAATGATCTAGGATTAGCGATGTCCAAGGGGAGACCCTCCCAAGGGAAGCTTGCATAATAACCCCTTGCCCCCAAAAGGATCAGCTGCAAGAGCCACTTTGACACTGCAAGGCCCGACCCAGCTGAGCTTCTGAATAAAGCAAACACCTCCACAAAGCAAACACAGGGAGTTGTCCGTCACTCTATACACACCTCTAGCCCAGCGGTATCGACAAAGTCACACTGGCCTAGCCTTTCTTAAGTGTTGCTCCTACCTCCTGGTCCTGGTAGATCCTTGGAACTTTCCAGAAGAAAACTCCAGAGCAAGGTCACTCAAGGATCTCACTCCACTTGATCGAGCATTACTTTCCCCAGAAGCCCTTTACGGAACGTGTAGATAAACTCACAGGCTGCCGCGTTGTAATCGGGGACCGATACATTCACATTCCCTGCCAAAAGAAGGAGGAGAAGCCTCAGTGCTCAGCCCAGATGGCCTTTCCTCCCCAAAGGGGGGGGGAGAAACACCCCCCGTCTCTGGAGGGTCAGGCCCACCCGGTTTCCAAAAGCTGACCCTCCTCCGCTCAGCATTCACCCCTGGGCTCCCTCGTGGAATCTGCCCTCCCTGCTCAGAAGCACCCGGTTTCTGGGCACATGTGGCTTCCTATGGACCAGGAGGACAGGACTCACCTGTGCCAGTCAGGACCTGAATTTTTTGCACCTTGCCCAGGTGCCGTGCTATGCTTTTGAGTACACTCCCCACTTCGTCGCAGGGGCCACTCAGCCCGTAACGCTCCACGTAACTGCAGAGTAGGAGGGAGAAGATCCAAAAAGGGGAAGCCAAAAGTATGGGACACAGCTCTGTTACAAAACATGGGATAGCCCAGGGTCCCTCTCACCTGAACTGCTGCTGCTGGTTCAGAACATAGAGAAGATAATCGGCGATGACCTCCACTCCAACCAGGTGATCGAGAATTGCCCCTGAGCAGAGGAAAAGCAGGCAGTCAGTCAGCAGGACAGGAGAACGTGACGGTCGTCCTGCTGGCCAAGCAGGGCAGACAACCCAAAGAGTTCCAGTCATAGAGGGAGAGAGCAGGAAAATCAGACTTAAGGTGGATGCTAATTTGGAGAGGATGCAACACACCTGAACTCCGCAGACATCAAGCAAACCCTGCAGAAACTAGGCTCCCAGGGCTGCGGAAAGAGCAAATGTCACCCCACCCTCCACCCTGTAAGTTCCACTCAAGGAAGCGTTAGGCTGCAGAAAGGAGCAGAGGGCTGCCCAGAAGCGTCGCAGGGAAAGAGAAGTCCAGGTCAAGAGAGCCGGGCAAAGCGGTGGCTGACTGGCCTACTTCCTTGGTAACAATCCCACTCCTCTGCCTTTCTGGGCTCCTCCAGCAGGGCCCAAGGGACCCCTCGCCCACCAGCCCTGTCGTCTACGTCTCCGTTTCCAGAAATCCATTCGGCTGCCTGGCCTGCCTTTTCTTCGAGGGCTCCGGACAGCTTCCATGGGGGATACGAGGCGGTGGGAAGGAGGGAGGAGGACCAACCCAACATCTCCCAATGAGGTTTCGCGGTTGAGGGTGAATTTGAATCTAGTTCTCTCGAATCCGGTCCAAGTCCTTAATCTGATTTATTTATTAAATGTGTATGCTCCCCAACTCTCTACCTAGCAGCTCTTGGACAGCTTACGATACTCTAACAGAAGACAATAATTATAGGAATCAAACCTTAAACCCTCAGGCATTAAAAACTAAAACCTTAACATTAATGTTAAAATAGCTAAAAACCAAGGCGTAGATGGGGTGGAGGTGAGCTATATTGTGCTGGCCTACCAGCCACCTCCCAAATGGGGTGCCCCACATTGGCCCCACATTGTAAGACCACACCGAGTCCTCTCACCACATAGCGCCAGCTTCAGCCCTGTCTCAACGGACTCAATTTGGGGAGACAGCACCCCAGGCGTATCCAGCAAATACATGAGGGGCTTTTCAGACACCTGGAATACGAAGATATCAGATTCAGATTTACAATCTCAAAAGCTGCCCCAGAGAATCATGGGACACGACGGTTTGCTACGGGTTTAAGAGATGACTGGAGACATCAATTTCCTTTGCGTTTTTGGAGTTACCCACCATGACTAATAAGAGCAAGGTCGCTCAACCAACTTTTAGGCCTAAAACAGGATTAAACTCTCAGCATTTAGAATCTTCAACCACGACATCAAAGTGGGTCTCAGGACATAAGGCACCATTGTTTGAGACCTATTGCTTTAAAAACAGTTATAATGCAGAAACTGGTTACCAGATTTGATTGCAATTCTTTATTTCTATGAAAGCCTGAAATGTAGGCTCAATTTAATCTTAAAATTATATAGACATGCACCTCTAGGTCCAAGGTGTTGGGACTATGCCACGTTATTAATCTCCACTATCCCTTCCAGATAGTCCTCTCTAATGGGAAGGAAAGAGGAAGCCACTCAACTAAGAACATCAACCCTACCATCGGTCAGTGGCAAGAGAGAAGATGGGATGAGAAAGAGGGGGCATCTACCAAGCTTTGTTGAAAATGACCAGCTTTTTTGGGCACCTTCTACCTTGCACTGTATTCAAGGGTTCGTTACTTAAGAATCAGCATTTCAGATAAGAACCCAAATCTGTACATTTGTCCCCATTTGGCGCAGAAATCATTGGATTACCTGGATCTTGGTCAGAACCGCTTTGGTTATACCGGGTGCCCCACCAACCGGCGCAGCTTTTCCTTTGGCGCAGGGAAAGGAAGAAAAAAACACAATTATGTGCATTGAAGATGGCAGCGCTTAGCATCTTCTGTTGTCACTGTCTGAGGAACTAACTCTCCCTTTGCTTTAGGTTAGTAATCGACCACGGCCAGAAGCGGAACTTGGCTCCTGAGGTCAACCCAGTTATCCATCTCTTCCCTGGCTACCAAGCGGGGATGCCCATCCCCCGTGTCCGAATGTCAAGACTGTTTTTTTCCACCACTGCTGGATGGATTTCTGAAAAACTGCAGCACTTCAACAACTCTTGCCTTGGCTTCCAAGAACTTACTTTAAAAACTGGGTTTTTAAAGAAGTATTTCAAAAGAATTAATCACTAATCACTAATGTGAAACATTCTGCAAAGTGGAACCAGACCAGCGCTGTTTTCAGATTATAACCATGCCCACGATTGTGTACCAATTCTACTGGATGTTCCATTTAAATGTATCGATTTGTTTGATCAGAAGCCACAGGAAATACCTTTTTTGAGGTGAAGCTTTCTCAGTGAATTGATGATTGAGGATTTCCCCACATTTGGCACACCGATTACCATGATGTTGTTATCCACATTCTGGAACCAATAAGAAACAGTTGAAAGTAACCTTGAAAACACATTTGGCATGGACAAGAAAGAAACGAAACAGGGGTGGCAGCCCCAATTGTTGACAGATTTCTACAGAGGGACATATATGGAAACATCCTTCCCAATATCTAGGATCCCATTAACTTCAGGCCAGCGATGGTTGAAACCTGGGGTTGTACCAACCCCTAGGAAACATTTCTTCTCTCTTTTGGGATGCTTATAAGGCTGGAAAGGCGCAACCCACAAAAGCCCACTCTGTATGTGCTGGAGCCTTTGCGCTGAACATTGGTTAGGCATGAACGTCTGTTCTTAACGAAATCTGCATTTCAAAAAGAGATATTCCCAGCTGCTGGAAAAGATGGAAGCCAAAGGGGCTAATCTTTTAAAGCATAATGCAGGAAAATACTAATTTGTTAAGCTAAAATTTAGAATTTCTCTGAGGAATTTGTTAATAGGAGTATATACTAAATAGAGAGACCATGGGTCCTCTAAAGAAAGTCTGCTTTGATTCATTATTGTCTTCATCCAGGCAATTATTTGCCATTTTATTTAATTTTAGCAAACCACTTCTGAGAAGCCCAGCCAAGAAAGCTGCAGGGACTTCTCCAGGGTGGTCGCCAAGACTAAGGTGGAGGTGCACAAATAGGCCCCCACCCACCCATAAAGGGAACAATGGGGTGCTAATAAATCCCCCTAAAAATGATCCAGTTCCACACATCAGGAACATTGCCACAGAAAAGAGCAGGATAATCCTTTTTGCTATTAACCAAGTGGTTATTTAAGTATGAAGGAAAAGCACAGCAATGCTTTTGTCATTCAGAATGTCCAGTTTAACTCACCTCTGCCCTCAGATAACGCTGGCTGTTTTTGATCAGTCCCGTGAGAATGGGAATAAGCTACAATAAAAGAAAAGACAGATTCAGTGGAACTGCAGGTCTGTTTTGCTCTTGGAAGGGGGAAATAAGGCTACATGCCTACTTCTCTTTCTCTCTTTCCCTCCCTCCCCAGTAGCTCTTCCATGAGGTAAAACCGATTAGAGCCAAGGTCATTAATTCATTCATTCAAGAAATGTACAAGGCTGCCCAGCTCCACGATTCCTTTGTACCCACGGCTTTGCTTTATCCTTCAATGAATAGGGGGAATGGTTCTAGAATAAAGAACTCTCCTTGTCCAGCCTCATCATGATAGAATGTAATGTTGCCCATTGGAATTGTACCTTCTTTATATTTTCGTCTGTTAAGCAGTCGGTGAAGACAACGTGCTGCACACCTTGCTGTTCCAAGAGCTCCAGAATTCTCTAAAAGTGCATCAAAGAGATTCACAAGAAGTATTAGTGTGGCTATTATAATTTAGATACATTATAGCCGCCCAGCCTAATGAAATGTATTAGTAAGGCAAGAGGCTAATTAATCTCTTAATTAATCAATAAGGCAAGAGCCTGATGAAGAAGCAAGGTGTTATCAAACAGGCCAAAGCAGACCTGAAATTTGAACATCAGACACAAAATAAAAACAGCAAGAGCTCAGATTCCCTACTGCGAAGTTAGCATGAAATGTTTGACAGGACCAACATTCCTGTCTAATCTAAGCTAAAAGAACGACTGCCCCCCCCCATATCCTTATTTGGGCGTTTTTCAAACTCTGGTGCAGCCTGCAGCGTATGTAAGAGGGAAAACTGACAAGACTCTACTTACCGACTTATGGGTCAGATCTGCCAAATCCATTTTATTCAACAGTAACAAATGTGGACGGATGCCCAGGACCTCGTTCAAGACAGGATTCCGCCCGGAAAGCGGAATGTGCATGTGCTAAGGAAACAAAGGCCCACAATCCAGATGCACAATGAAGACTGCATTTTAAATGAAAAACGAAGCGGTAGGTGAAGGCAGCACCGGAGCCCAACTCCTACCATTCTCAAATTCATAACTTGGGAAGCACAAAGGAAATTATAGGCTGGCCAGCTTAATGTCTGTTCTAAACAAAGTGGCAGAAATGGGAGCCAATGGAAAAAAGCAACTACCGCAATCCTATTGAAGAACAGTTTTTGTTTGAAGAAAATCAGCATGAATCCCATAAAGGTAAATCCTGCCTCACCAACGTAAAAAGCTGGGGAAACAGTGGAAAAGGGCAGCCGGTGTTTCTAAAACAAAGGGCTGGAAGTCAGAACTGAACAAAATGCTGGGTTGTGAGCCCATAAACACAGTTCCCTTTCCCAGCAATACGATGTGCTACTTATTGTTTACCAAGGGCACGTTCTCATGACCTGGCTTCTACCTCATGGTCACCCCACTGCTAAGGCAGCCCAGGTGTTCTGGTATAGAAGTGATGTTTTGGCCCCCCAAAATATCCCACATGGACAATCTAGGGTATCTGGAAGAGGAAGACTGAGATGATGCAGGCGGGGCATGTGGTCTGCTTGGCTCCAACTGGGTGGTCTCTGATCCTGCCCATCTCCCTGCCGGGTTTTGTGGCTGTTCTTCAGCTGAGAGACAGCACAACCCACAGCATCCGACAGGTGATGTTGGCCTCTCTTGTGGACAGGGCAATGGTGAACACAGAGGAAGCTGCCTGCCTGTCTCCAGATACAGGAAGCTCCCAGAGGGTCCACCCCATGGCATGGCACGGATGGAGCTGGTGTTCGAGAGCAGGAACGGTGTGTGTTCAGGATCCATCTGTTGGGTGCTTTGGATGGCAGTGCCTCTCAATCCATGCCGTGATCTCTTTCAGATTGAGCGATCAAGGTTCCCATTAGGGAAGAAAAGGGGTCCAAAAATACATTTATGTAGACAAGAGCCTTCCGGTCTCCCACACAGCCAGGCCAGCAGGGGCAGAGCTGGTGGCTGGACGGAAGGAGGCAGGTCAGCGATCTCGAGTGCATCATCTCAGCCAGACACTTCCATGCACCCCAGATTGTTTGCACAGAATAGCCTGAGAATCCTAGGGCTGGAGGGGGCCTCGGAGGTCCTCTAGTCCAGCCCCAAAGGCACCACACCGGATGGAATGGCTGCCTTGTGCCAGCATCACCCGGCCGGCCATGAGGCAGAGGGGAAGGCTCGGGTAGTGTGTGCTGGGCCAAGGAGGCTCCACGGACGCGCTGCAAGCGGGGACCTCCTCGCCCTCAAAGCCTCTCTCCTGGGGGGGGAGTGTCTCCTCAGCTAAAGCCCCCCAAGCGGGCCCGGCGGAAGGATATGCGGGCGTCGTGCACCTCCAGCAGGCCGTCCACGGCTCGCAGGGTCTTCCTCATGTCCTTCAGCCCTGCGGGAGGAAAGAGGCGCCCTCGTTGTTGCAGCCGCAGCCCCGCCGGAGCAGGAGGCGGCCCCGCGCCCTCCCCGCCCGCCCTCCCCGCCCGTGCCTCGCGCCATGTGTCCGGGGAACCAGCGCGCCACGTCGCGGCCGCCGCAATCGAAGCGCTCCCGCCAGCCGCCGCCGCCGCCTCCGCCCGCCGCCCGCAGAAGGGCCGCCAGCCGCATCCTCCGCCGCCCGGGGACCAAGGCTGCGGGGCCGGCGCTCCCAAATGACGACACCGAACTCCTCGGGCGCGCCTGGATGACGCCCGCGGACGCCCCGCCCCGCCGGAGGTGGGGCGCTTGTGACGCCACTGCGGGAGGGCGTGGCCGGCGTTCAGTCGCCCCACCGGGAGGGCGGCCGGAGGAGGAGGCGGCGGCGGCGGGCGCTGAGCGCTGGGCAGCCCTGGAGCGCGAGGGCGCGGCGGAGGAGCCCCCCCGGGGGGAGGGGGAGGTGAGGCTGCCCTCCGGCGCCCGCGGCCCCACGAGCCTCGCGGGGGGGAGACTGACGCGTGTCGTCCCGTGGGCAGGAGCTCGACCCCCCCCCNTCTATTTATCTTTATCTATCTATCTATCTATCTATCTATCTATCTATCTATCTATCTATCTATTTATCTTTATCTATCTATCTATCTATCTATTTATCTTTATCTATCTATCTATCTATCTATCTATCTATTTATCTTTATCTATCTATCTATCTATCTATCTATTTATCTATCTATCTATCTATCTATCTATCATCTGTCTCTCTCTCTCTCTCTATCATCTGTCTGTCTATCATCTATCTATCTATCTATCTATCTATCTATCTATTTATCTTTATCTATCTATCTATCTATCTATCTATTTATCTATCTATCTATCTATCTATCATCTGTCTCTCTCTCTCTCTCTATCATCTGTCTGTCTATCATCTATCTATCTATCTATCTATCTATCTATCTATATCTATCATCTGTCTATCATCTGTCTCTCTCTCTCTGTCTATCATCTGTCTGTCTATCATCTTTCTATCTATCTATCTATCATCTGTCTATCATCTGTCTCTCTCTGTCTATCATCTGTCTGTCTATCATCTTTCTATCTATCTATCTATCTATCTATCTATCTATCTATGTCTGTCTGTCTGTCTATCTATCTATCTATATCTGTCTATCATCTGTCTGTCTATCATCTATCTATCTATCTATCTATCTATCTATCTATCTGTCTATCATCTGTCTCTCTCTGTCTATCATCTGTCTGTCTATCATCTTTCTATCTATCTATCTATCTATGTCTGTCTGTCTGTCTGTCTGTCTGTCTGTCTGTCTGTCTGTCTGTCTGTCTGTCTGTCTGTCTGTCTGTCTGTCTATCTATCTATCTATCTATCTATCTATCTATTCACCTGCCCACCTCAAATGGGGGGCAAAGGCCCATCGTTGTCCCCTCGGGAGACTCCCAGGATTGCATCTGAGCTTGCAAAATCCCCCTGAGTAACCTCCTCCCCCCTCCCTCCTTCCAGCCCCCCGGGATGAGCCCCTGTGAGGACGGAGACCCCTTGGCAGGGGCAGTAGCAGCTGAGCTGGATCTGGCCCAACCCCATCAGGAGCAGGAGGAGAAGCCCATCCCAGAGGATGCTGACCCGGGGCAGCTGCCGCCGGTGCCTGCCGAGGAGGAAGCCGCTCTCCCCAGGGGCCACTGCCAGGCCTGGCTCCTGGCCCCGCTGGAGGACGCCCGGTTCCTCATCTGCTGCACCAACTGGTACTAGCGGCTGCCTGACCGGGCAGCACCCCGGACAGCCTTGGAAAGGCCCAGCGTCCACCCTGAGGCTCCAAGACGCGTCTCTTAACAGGCTCCAGATGGGCGGCTGTTATTAAAACACAGGCAGCGTGACTGGCTTTACTCTGCACAGGCTGCGTTTGTGCTATTTCCTTGTTTGTGGTTAACTTAATCGCAACTTCCCATATCAATTCCCAGCCACCTTCTGGCAGGGGATGGTGTTGGTTGTGTATTGGACCTGATGGTGGTTGGGTTTTTTTAGATGTAGGGGCTGATCATCCAGAGCTTTCTAAAATCACCAGGTGGAGATTTTTTTCTGCTGCTTTAATTCTGACTATATTTACACTGTGCACTTAAGCATGGCTACCTTAGCTGAATAACAGAAACTCCAACTTTATGGATTTACACATTGTGCCATGTGGGCTATAAACTCTGGGCTGGGTATGCACAAAACAAACAAAAATGCAAATGAATGTGCCTCGTGAATAAAGCTAAGGTTAGGCTGAGAAATGTAAAAAATGATAGAGCAAATATTTAAGGCACATCTACTCCAAGATTGGAGTTGGAGACCTAGCCAAAGACTTTTGTCCTGCAAAAGGACTGGTACGAAATAACAGCAAGAGGAGTCTCATTTTTCTTCAAATGAGAAGAATACGCTCTATAAATATACTCTAAGCTTTATTCCGGATACTTTGAAGAATTTGAGCCTGGCATAAAAAGACTTTTCTCTCTGCATATTTATAAGTCTGAGTGGACAATGATTATAACTTCTATTATCATTGTAAGATTAACTAAGCAATGACAATGTCATAAAATATTAAAAAGATGATTAATGAAC